TAGGGCGTGTTCGGGGCCTCTTTTTGTATTTTTGCGGGTCGCCTGGCGACCTCTTGGGGCTTCTTGGGCGCTTCTTGGAGTTTCTTGGGGTCTCCTGGGCGACTCTGGGGCCAAAAGTGCAAATTTCCGGTTCCTCGTTCCCGTCTTGGGCGCCGATTTGGGGCGTTCTTAGGCGATTTAGGCGTCTCGTGGGCCGTCTTGACCCCCTCGTGCGCCGTCTTGGAGCCCTCCTGAGGGCATCCTCGACCGTCTTGGGTGCCTCTTGGGTCGTCTTGGACGCAGTGGAAGCCCAAAAGGCGAACACGCCAAAAATACCAGTTCTCCGAAAGGAAATCAACGATGTTTACTTATCTGGAGCTCTATTGGGGTGCCTCTTGGGGCGTCTTAGGGGCCTTTTTGGGTGTTTTTTTCTGGTCTCTTGGGGGCCTCTTGAGGCTTCTGGGGCGCTTCTTGGAGCCTCTTGGGGTCTCCTGGGGGTCTCTAGGGCCAAAAGGCGGAAATTTCCAGTTCCTCGTCCCCGTTATGGGCGCCGACTCGGGGCGTTCTTGGGCGGTTTGGGCGCCTCGTGGGCCGTCTTGGCCGCCTCGTGGGCCGTCTTGGGGCCCTCTTGGGCGCATCCTCGACCGTCTTGGGTGCCTCTTGGGCCGTCTTGAGTGGAAGCCCACAAGGCGAACACACCAAAAATATCAGTTTTCCCATCGGAAATTTGCTTATTGGAGCTCTCTCGGGGTGCCTCTTGGAGCGTCTTCGGGGCCTTGGGGGGCCTTCTTGGCGTCATGGGAGTCGTCTTGAAAGGCATCCGGAGCCATCGGAGCGCGTTTTCGAGCGCTCCGAAGCCATCTTCGGGCGATCTTGGACGGCCCCCGGCGCTCCGGCAGGGCTCCCGGCGCGCCGGGCCCCACATTTGTGGTCGCGGTTCCGGCCCCCGACCCCCGGACCCTGCCCCCGTGATATGTATAAGCCGTCCTGGACGGTCCCCACCACCCTGGCGGCTTCTCAGGGGTAAAAATCGATTTGTTCAGGCAGATGGTGCACACCAATTGCATCCTGTGATTTACTCCCGGCCGCCGTGAGGCCCCGCCTTCTTTCGCCCTTACTCTGCTAATTAAAGCTGTGCGCGTCCCGCTTAGCTTTCAGCGGAAGAGGTTCGCTCTCGCCCTGCAGATCAATGTTTTTTTTCCTGTGGCTTCGTCCGCCGCTTGGGACAACAATGGGTGTGCTTTCGAGCTGCTTTCGAGTCCGGGGCCTCCCCCGTCCTCGGAGCACTCCGCCCTCCCTGGTCCCGTCCGCCTTGCTTCTAGGTTGTCCTCCATACAGGGCAGTTTCTAATACATAGGATGTTTAAAGACATGGGATCTTTAATACATGATTCATTTATGAATAAATTTATGCACGAATTCATCGTTGTTTTTAGTACTAGATCCCTGCATTTTTATACATGATCCGCACGCGGAGCATGTGTTAAACATGATCGACCCACGAACCCGGAAAGGAATATAGAACTCTAACACATGGCAGCGTTTTCAAAGACACCTGATTGGGTGACGGGCAAATGCAATGCTGAAGGTATCGATCTTGATGTACCGTGCCGAAATGCTGTGCTGTGCTGCGCCGTGCTGAATTGCGATGTGCCATGGCGCGATTGTGCTCTATAGCCTCGTGGATCGAGTCCTCCTTTGCATCCGAGTCCTGACCGAACTGATCTGGATCTGAAGCTCGAGCTGCCTGAACACATAGTAGCTGCCCCAGAGCTAATGAACAGGGGAGCATGCCAGGAGGACGCGCCGCGAAACGTCCCAAGGGATGCGCCAGGCGACGTGCCAGGGGGCGTGCCATGGGGTCGCACCGCGGGACGTGCCAAGGGGACGCGCTACGGAACGCGCCAATGGATGTGCCACGGGATGTGCCAGGGGACGCGCCACGCGACGTGCCAGGAGGACTCGCCAAGGGACGCCCCACGGAACTTGCCAAGGAACGTGCCAAGTTGCAATGCTGAAGGTATCGATCTTGATGTACCGTGCCGGAATCTGTGCTGTGCTGCGCCGTGCTGGATTGCGATGTGCTATGGCGCGATTGTGCTCTATAGCCTCGTGGATCGAGTCCTCCTTTGCATCCGAGTCCTGACCGAACTGATCTGGATCTTAAGCTCGAGCTGCCTGAACACATAGTAGCTGCCCCAGAGCTAATTGACAGGGGGACATGCCAGGAGGACGCGACGCGGAACGTCTCAAGGGACGCGCCAAGCGACGTGCCAAGGGACGTGCCATGGGGACGCACCGCGGGACGTGCCAAGGGGACGCGCTACGGAACGTGCTGGGGACAAGCGTTTCGCTCGAGACATCCTTTCAAAATCCTCAGAATTCCTGCGCGCGGGACGCGGCACACGCGAGACATCCTTGGAATTCATGCGAGCGGGACGTGAAAACAAGCATTTCGCCTGAGCCATCCTCTGAATTCTAGCCCCCCACAGGCCCCCGCTCGAGACATCCCCCAATTTTGCAAAACCAGCGTTTCGCTCGAGACATCCTCAACAAATTGTGAACAACAAGCGTTTCGCTCGAGACATCCTGCCAAAATTCTAAGAAATCCTGGCAAAACAAACGAATTAGTCGAGACATCCTCGAAATTCCTGCGCGCGGGACGCGGCACGCGCGAGACATCCTTGGAATTCCTGCGAGCGGGACGTGAAAACAAGCATTTCGCCTGAGAATCCCCTGAATTCTGGCCCGCCATGAAGCCCCCGCTCGAGACATCCCCAAATTTAGCAAAACCAGCGTTTCGCTTGAGACATCCTCACAAATTATGAAAAACACGCGTTTCGCTCGAGACATCCTGCCAAAATTCTAAGACATCCTGACAAAACAAGCGAATTAGTCGAGACATCCTCGAAATTCCTGCGCGCGGGACGCGGCACGCGCGAGACATCCTTGGAATTCCTGCGAGCGGGACACGAAAACAAGCATTTCGCCTGAGACATCCTCTGAATTCTGGCACCCCACGAAGCTCCCGCTCGAGACATCCACAAATTTTGCAAAACCAGCGTTTCGCTCGAGACGTCCTCAACAAATTATGAAAATTACACTACACCCGCGCTCCCAGGGCCACGATCCCTCGTAAATTACGCTACGTCAGCGCTCCCAGGGCCACGATCCCTCGTAAGGGCTCCTGTGCCCTCCTGGGTCTTCCTTGGACCTCTTGGGCCCTCCTGGGCTCTCCTGGAGCCTCCTGGAGCTTCTCCTGGGCCCTCCTTGGGCCCCCTGGTGCCTCTTGGAGCCTCCTGGGTCCTCCTGGGCCCTCCTGGGCTCTCCTGGGCCCTCCTGGGCTCTCCTGGGCTCTCCTGGAGCCTCCTGGGCCCTCCTGGGCGAAGTCAAGGTCCGAAAACACATGGGACTTGCCACATTTCTGAAATTCGGTGCCACCCCTCACGCAGGTCGGCGGGGTCAGGATCCGAAAACACATGGGACTTGCCACATTTCTGGAATTCCGCGCCACCCCTCACGCAGATCGGCGGGGTCAGGGTCCAAAAACACAAGGGATTTGCCACATTTCTGGAATTCCGCGCCACCCCTCACGCAGATCGGCGGGGTCAGGGTCCAAAAACACAAAGGATTTGACACATTTCTGGTATTCCGTGCCACACCTCATGCAGATCGGCGGGGTCAGGGTCAAAAAACACATGGGATTTCTGCTATTTCCGAACTTATGCAACTTCAAGAATCCAAAACTCCGTTCCCAGCGCCATTCCGGAGGCCGCGGTACCTCGTTATTTATCGAGCGAACGCGTTTACCTTGTTTTTTAGCGTTTAAAGTCGATGTCGGAAAAAAGTGGACTTCACCTGTGAAATATCGAGGTTTCCTTAAAGGCAGTAAAATTCCAAGAGCACGATCTGCGTGAGGGGTGGCGAAAAATGACCTTCGTCCTCACAATTTTAATTCGCCGGCCCCCTTCGACCTCGTAATTTATCGCACAAGAAATTCGCCGGCCCCCTTCAAGTAAAAACCGAGGGGGTAAACCAACTAAAAGAGAACCCTGGGCCCAGGCCCTTTCCGGGAAAAAAACGGCACTGTACCCTCATCAGCTCCAAGTCGCAGGCGATGCCTATACAGTGGAGGTCAGTCCACAAGAAACCCTCCACAAGAAACCCAACCCTGAGACCCCAGGACGTTCATTGGCTTTGGGCGTGGGAGCGTCGCGCTTTGCACAGCAGACCCATCGAAACCCAAGACACCCGGGGCACCCTGGAGGCAAGCAGGGTGTTTCTTGGCCTGGGCCTCCACTGCACTGCGGGTCGGGAAAATGACCACAACCACTGCTTCTTGTTGGCGCCGCCTTCCAGCCGGCCGAAAAAGAAGCAGTGGTTGTGGTCATCTGCCTGGTGCCAGGTTTAACGAAATGACCACAACCACTGCTCTGCTTCTGCTGGTTGGAAGGCGGCAACAGAAGAGAAGCAGTGGTTGTGGTCATTTTCCCGTCCCGTATGAACTCACCGGCAGAAGCGACCAGGCTCAGAGAAAGTGGCGCGGCGGCGCCTGCCCCCCCTGGGAGCGCTCAACTGAATAGATCCTCTGGGTCCGCACTCCCAGCGTCACGACCCCGTGTAGATTGCGCCGGGTCCGCGCCCGCAGGCAGGGAGCCCCACGGGGCCCCACGAGACCCAAACGAGGCCCCAAGAGGCCCGAAAGAGGCCCCAAGACACCCCGACGCTGCACCCCAGAGGATTCCGAGAGGCCTCCCAAGAGATCCCGACAAGCACCCGTGAGGCCGCTCATCAACAGCAGGTGGCGACATCCGAACCCGAACCCCACCAACCATCGAGTCCCGGTGGGGCGCTGACCCCCCTGGCGGCGCCGCCGGCGCCGCCCCTGGAGCGCTCCGCGCGCCAGGGCAGGGGGTCCAGCGCGGACCCGAAAAATCCGCGCGAACCTCCGAGTTTTTACGTTTATGTCACCTTTTGTTCCCCTGCCCATGCCGCCCTGGACCCCGGGACGCCGCCCATGACCACAGCAACGGTGGCAATTCACGGGGCCCAGCCTTCGGCTCGAAATGCTTTGCCCGGCGTCCCGCCGCCACTCCCCGCCAACCACCAGCGCCCAGACATGCCACGGGCGATGGTCACGGATTTGATGACGAGGCTGGTGAGGATATTGCAGGCAATGATGCTGATGGTGAGGATGATGACCTTGATGATGATGATGAGGAGGAGGAGGAGGAGGAGGAGACGGAGGAGGAGGAGGAGGAGGAGGATGATGAGGAGGAGGATGACGATGATGACGACTCACTTCTCGATGTCCACCTCGCCGTCAGTCGCCGGCTGGCCGACCACTGGCCCCTGCTCACGCTCCGTGCTCGCGGCGCGGCGGCGGACCACGTAGTGCCACAAGGCTGCGCCGACGACGAGCACTATCAGCGACAGTGCCACGCAGGAGACGATCATCGCGATGCGCGCCTCGGGCAGTTCCTGCGTCGAGCCGCCCGTCGGTGCTGCGGCGCCCCAGGACAGCTCGACGGTGGCCACCACGGCCGCGTGGTCGGAGCTGCTGAAGGTCCCCACGGTGCTGCTCTGGCCCGCGGCCCAGCCGACCCGCGCGGAGTTGCGCAGGAACACGTGATCAACGGTGCCTCCCCATCTTGAAGTGGCACCGTCCTAGGGAAACCACGAGATACCGATACCGCCTCTCCACTGACCCCTCCCGGGGTGCGCTCTGACCAGAACTTCGACGCGACTCCAGCCGTGGCGACGAAGGCCTCCCGGGAGGCCTGAGGGGGAGGAGGCGAGGCGAGCGCGGCGGTACCGGTACCCTTTCCTCCGCTGGCGTCCGCGGGCACCCTGTACATTCCCCCGCGCAGAAACTCGTCGACGCCTCCGGTCTGGAAGCCGATGTACTCGTCGACGTCCCCGGCGCTCTGTGCCTCCACGAACGGGCTGTACGACCCCTGACTCTCAGCGACCTGCGCGGCGACCGAGAACGAGTTCAGGTCGCCCGCGGCGATGTCGGGCTGCCAGCTGAGCACGCTGCGGGCCTGCTTGGGCTTCTCGACGGTGAAGTTCCGCCAGCTGCCGTCCACGTAGAAGCCGCCCGTGAGGTGCACGCTCGCCACGCGGAAGGGCTCCACGTAGGAATCCGCTTCGCCAAAGGGCGCGTCGGCGGGCACGAAATCCACGTAAGCGGCGCAGCGCGGGTTCGGCGACGTGTCGGAGAGGCTCTGGCTGAAGCTGCGGACCACCCTGATGGTGCTCTCGCGGACGTACACCGCGTTCTGCAGATAGCGGCCGCCCAAGGCGTAGGCACTCATCGTGTCCCACAGCGGTTCCGCCCGGCAGGCGCCAGCCCTCCTGTAGCCCTCCAGGCTGATGCCATTGCTGCTGTGCTGCGGCTCGAACTCGACGTCCTCCTGCGTCAGGACGACGTCGGCGTTGAAGCCGAGGATCTGCTGGCTCAGCTGCTCGGCGGTGGCCCAATCGATGCTGGCCACGTTCCACGTGGCCACCGTCACAGCCGTGCCCCATGCCTGTGCCGCAAGAGCAGCGAGGATCGCGCAGGGCAGGGCGCTGCAAGGGAAGGCCATCTGGCGCGCAGATATCTCTGTGACTGGCTGTTGTCTCTGGACCTTGTCTTCGATGCTTCGTCGACTCGGCCAAAACTGGTGCGGAGGGGAGGAGGCGGGGTTTGCCGGCAGGCTGGACCCTTTCGGATCAAGAGTGAGTCCGCAGGCACGGCCTCTTTGGCAGGACCCTCCACCTCCATCTTCCAAACCTCCCGACCTCTGCAGAAGGCGTCGAAGGTGATGCATTGAAGCTATTGAGAAGCGCAAGAAAACGCAGCACCTCACGAGGCGCAAGAGTGTGGAAGGCCAGCACGGAGGGTCTGGAAGAATGAGGGCGAGGGCGGGGGCAGCAGGAGGGGGAGGAACCGGCTCAGGGGGCGCATCGACGCCCGACACATACACACACATATATATATATATATACATATATAGATATGTATATATGTGTATATATATATATATATATGTATCGCCCCCCTTCCTCGCCGACGGGGACCTTCTGATGCCCTGCCCCGCCCAGAGGAGGAGGATGAGGAGGAGGAGGAGGAGGAGGAGCGAGGAGGAGGAGGAGGAGGAGGAGGAGGAGGAGCGAGGAGGAGGAGGAGGAGGAGGAGGAGGAGGAGAAGGTTCGTAGCCATTTTGGCTCAAGTCCGTAGCGTCTCGCTCAGAACTTGGCAAGTGGCCTGGGGGGGATTGCGGCCCCCACTGCTTTCCCAGGCGTTCGCCCGCCTGGCACGTTTTCAGCTACGTTCTGACTACAGAACTACCACTTTCACTGCTGCACTTCTCTGCTATCGCGATGGTGCCAGCCCTTTTCTCGTATGCTCCGTGGGTCAAGTCGCAGAGTGAGGATGAGGGTTGGTCCACAGCGAAAGGACGCCGCCGCGGCCAGGCTCAAGTTGCCAGTTTCGCCTGCCCGTCCTGTGGCTGCAAGAAGAGCAGCGCCGACGCCACGCATTGCAAGCACTGCGCTCATCCTCTCCCTCAGATGTCTCATGCAGCTGGGCCTCCTGCAGGTGGTCGCTGGGCCGCGGCTGGTCCCCCAGGCTACTGGTACGGGAATGGCCACAGCGTCAAGGGCCACGTCTTCCAGAACTATGGAGGAAAAGGAGGTTCTCGTGGGACAAATGGCAAAGGCAGAGGGAAAGGATATTTTGGAGGCGACCCGTCTATGTGGGATGTGCTGGCTCGTCAAGACGAATCACGTGCTGATGGCGCTGGAGGAGGCACCCCGCCACTTCCTGTGGGACCAGTTCCTTCCATCACCGCGTCTGAAGCCAGGGCCCTTGGTGAGTCGCTCCAGAAGGCGGGGGATGTCGGAGCGGCCACAAAGTACTTGGACATGGCTAAGCATCTTGAGGCAGCAGCTAAGCCCGTTGTTATATCGGACCACGTTCGGATGCAGCAGGCTCACTCCACTGCGCGCAAGCTGGAGAAGCAGATGGAGCAGCAGCTGGGCCGAGTCACTCGTCTTAGGGAACAACTCTTGGAAGCGGAAGTTTCGTTGCGATACCTTCGCGACCAGGTTGACCAGGCGGACTTGGACTACTAGCAGTCTCTTGCGGCCTTGCAAGGGCCTTCACAGCAGTCTGAGATGCGGACTCAGCCGATGTCCCTCAATCTCGAGGAGCTGGTGGCAGGCACGGTGGACTTCTCCAAGCTCATCGACTGCAGCCACATGCTGGAGGATCTCACGACTGACAACGACGTGGGTGCGTCGGACCTTGAGCAATTCCAGAAGAGGAAGGAGGACTTGTCGTCAAGGGTCACCAAGCTGGCCAGAGACCTCTTCGCCCAGGTCGCGTCGCATGCCAAGGCACTTCGTGCACAACACGAAGCTCATCGGCTTCGAGTGGTGGCGAAGAAGCGGAAGACTACCGAAGGTGAAGTTGTCGGGGGACCTCCTGCGGACGCTGCGGCTGTGGCTGGAGGAGGAGCAGGGGCGCCTTCTGAAGGTGCCCAAGCCGCTGCGCCCACGGCGGCGTCGGCCGAGGCCGTCCAGGCTTCGGCTGCACCGCAAGAGGACATTCGAGCCAAGGTCGACCAGGCTCTCAAGGACTCTGAGCCCCCTGCTGCGTCTTAGAGGTGGCGGGGGGCAGGAATCTGAGGGCGGGGACCCAGGTTTGAAACCCTCCTGGGATCTTTTTAATATTTTAGCCTCGAGAGTGTCTGTGATAGGCTCCAGGTTTCAGGCCTCTGGGGTTCGTCTCTCCAAGCGTTTACGGCAGGTTTTTGGGATTAGAGCCATCGGGAGCTCGTTTGATGCCCCGCTCACCTGTGCTGAAATTCGGGTGCCCCCAGATTTCCCAGGAGCCGCTCGCATCTCCTCTCTGCCTCTGCCTGGTGCGGTCGGGAAGCAGTACTGCGTGAAGGCTGGTGGAGCTCAGCTTGAAGACCCTCCAGCCGCACGGTTGCCGCAATCCGATGCCCTTTTTCCTGGTGCTAGCTCCGCCAGGGCCTGGTCCTGTATGAGTTCGGTTGCTGTCGGCGACGGTCTTCCAGTGACCTCAGCCCCCACGCCAGCTACCCAGGGTGCTGCCGACGGCTGCATCGGGCTTGATGAGGGTCCTATGGTGACCACGGTGAACGCCAACACTTGGGGCACTCTCAAGAACTACCTATCTTCGGCCAGCTCCCATGTGGTTATTGCTCAGGAACATCGGCTCATAGCTCCTGGTGCTCTGGACCAAGCCTCGAAGTCGTCTAAGTTCCTGGGATGGAAAACCCTGTGGGCTCCAGGTCTGCGT